AACCTGTTGATTGACCTCAGTGCTTTTCTTGCCAAGAGTAGAGATCACCCCTTTCGAAGTAGTGTTGAGATGCAACAAAGTAGTTGTTGTACTAGCCAATGGTTTGTGAGGAGGTCATTCATTGCTCGTGCGATATTGTTGGATGAGTGTAAGCGACTACCAAGCGCTTGAGGGAATAACAATGTCACTTGGTGTCATGACTACAAGAATGTTTTTTTTTTTTTTTTTTTTTTTTTTTTACTACAACATGACTACATGAATGTTGTGAAGAGCTGGAGGAGATGTGTGAGCTTTGAGCAGATAGTAAAGATCGTGTAGGGTATTAGAGTGGGTGTAACCTGAATGGTGATTCCAAATTGCATGGTTGTCAAGTACATAAACAACGGGCTCATAAGGGACAACCTAGCATGCCAGCGACAGGAAATCTCCCAAGAGGGGTGGGAAGGATTAGGGAAGCCCTTTGATTATGCCTTACTTGCAGATTCACTGTTGACAAGAGATGAAACAAAATATTTTTTACTTTCAATTTTTGCAATGCAAAGAAATGGAGGTGAGTGCAGAAGGTGGAAGGGTTTTAGGACCGACAGCTCAGCTCAGGATCCTGCCGTCGTCCCTTTTGTTTGTTGCTCACCGCCCAGTAGCATTGTCAACGAGGGCAGTCAGTTTGACGACCACGAAACTGTCTCCCAGTGAGTGTGCTTACAGCAGCAATGGCAGTAGCCTTGCACCAGCAGACCAACAATGCTTACATCAGGAGTTGTCACCAAGCAATTGACACATATATGTAGTCGATAAATGGGTCGCAAGGTTGGGCTATGCTGGGATTTCTGAATAAGGCATGCGCGTTCTCGAATGTTTATTGTCATATCTGTATTGTAGACATTGTTGTAAAGCCATTGCAAAAGATGTACCCACGACGCTTTGCTCAACTTGAATATCAGCCTTGACATGACACTAAATATAGCTGAAGCAGCTGCAGTGCGAAGGCGATGCAGTGAGGTACGAATTATGAGTTCAGGACGCGGAAGAAGATCAACAGCAAATCGCCTAACCAAAGGTGTTGGCAAGAGAGGTACAGAGTGAGAGGATGTTGATAAAATAGGTGCAACATGAGAGTCAATGGGTGTTGGTAAGAGGAGTGCAGTGTGACAAGGATTGGCTGATGGAGGATGGGACGGAGTAGCAATAGCTGTGGTAGAGAAACAAGAGCACGGAGTAGCAATAGCTGTGGTAGAGAAACAAGAGGACGGAGTAGCAATAGCTGTGGTAGAGAAACAAGAGGAGCTGAGGTATAAGGAGGTCGAGGGGGGTGAGGAACAGAGGGAAACAAGAGGGTCAGCACCCATTTCTGTCCAATGACGAGGGCAGAAGTGTCCTCGTGGAGACGGCAGTCTAGCCATTGGAATTCATACTGCCCGCCTCTTACCAGCACACCCGTCGACTCTCATGCTGCACCCCTTTCACCAACACCCCCTCACTCTGGTCCCCCTCCTGCCAACACCTTCAGTTAGGCCATTTGCTGTTGATCTTCGACCGGGTCCCCAACTCATAATTCGTAACTCACTGCATCGCCTTCTCACTGAAGATGCTTCAGGTAACTGGTGTCGTGCCAACGTATATTCTTTATATGTATTGTCACATATCTATCAACTAGAAGAGCACACTTTCTAAAACAAACAATTAAATTACACAGGACAAACATGAAGAGCACGCTGGAACCACTCTTTTGATCTCTTCTTTTAGCTCCCCTTTTTTTTTTTTTTTTTTTAACACCCCCGCCAGTGTTAGTGGTGCTGACTTTTAGCTCCCCTTTTACTATGCCTCTCACGTACAAAGCTCGCCACGTTCATGAAGTTGAGTGCGAGCTGCCTGCACCCCGTGTGCCATAACGGCCCACTTTTGCGCTGTGAGAAAGAGACAGAGAAAAGGGGAAGGGAATATAGAGAAAAGATTGAGACAAGAAAAAGTAAAGGAAGACGGAAATTGAGGGAAGGAAAGGATAAGAAGGCGCTATAAAATTAGTCTGTCCTTGATGACAGAGAAGACATACCTTTTTGTAAGAGGATGAAACGAATGAAGACATGGAAGATCTAGCTGAGTGAGAATTCTCCGTACAACAATTGCCACGACGGTTGGCATTGAGCATGCCCACAAAACACTCCTGACAAATGGCATGTTTAGCGCAAGCCAACCTGAAAGGAAAACGGGCACCGCAAAAGACCATGCATTCAGTATAACGCCCATGACCGCAAAATGGAGATACAATGTCCGGATGTGAAGGATACCTGCAGTCAGGAACAGAGGGGCAATCCTCAACACACATGGATGCAGAAACCATGCCATTGTCGCAATTGCAACAGAGACAATGGCGGCTACAGCCGAGTGCAACAACACTTGTACTTGTGCAAAGGAGAAGGCTGCATAGTGGTGGTACACTGTCCTGCTGCAGCACGAGGGTAGAGGAATTATCTTCGGCATAAAAAAGATTGCGGACGGTTTGGTCTGGCAAGAAAACAACATCATTATGTTAGAAACAGTAACCTCAGTCATCGCTTTTTTTTTTTTTTTTTTTAAACACACGCCCCCTGCAGTGCTATGGCGTATGTATTGTATATACATGCATACAAATGATACAATCATTTAAATGACATAGTTTCTGCATCCGCGTGTGCAGAGGACTGTGCCTCCGCTCCTGACTGGAGGTACCCTTCACGTCCGAGCACTATTATCTTCATTTTGCGGTCATGGGTGGGTTTTTTTTTTTTTTTTCATGGGTGTTAATACTGAATGCATGGTCTTTTGAGGTGCCCGTTTTCCCTTCCTGTCGACCTGCAATCCACATGCCATTTGTCGGGAGTGTTTGGTGGGCATGCTCAGTGCCAGCCGTTGTGGCAATCAGTGTACTCAGAATACGCTCAGCTAGGTCTTCCATGTCCTCGTTGGTCTCATCCTTACGATGTGTGTCCTCTCTATCCTCAAGGACAACAATTCTTGAGCCTTCTTTTTAACTTTTCCCATCCTTGCATCTCTAGTCCAGACTCCTTTCCCCTTATTCCCAGTCTTTTTCCTTTGCTTTCCCTTTGTCTTCCTTTACTTTCTCTCTCTATGTTTTCTCTCTGCTTATCCCCACCCCCTTTGCTCTGCCTCTTCTTCACAGCGTACAAGTGGGTCGTTTGGACACACGGGGATGCAGACACCTTGCGCTCAAACTTCATCACCGTGGCAAGCCTTGCACATGAGAGACACATTTAAGGGGGAGCTAAAGAAGAAATTACCCAAAGAATGGTTTCCATGTGCTCTTCATGTTTGCCTCATATATTTTTGTTGTTTTGTTTCGCAAAGTGCGCTCTTTTAGTTGACGAGTATGCGACAATATATATACACCAGGCCAATCCAGGCCACACGCGCCCAGGCAACCGGGAACACTTCCCCTGGAGTGCCTGGTCAAGTCTATTCTTCAGACAGTTTCCCAGTTCTTTTTTCTGGTTTCAGACAGCTGGTGGGCGTCTCCGCGCCCACCTGCCCAAATCTGGTTCTCTCTTTCTTTTTTTGGCACTTTCTGGGCAGGGAGGACGGGGCGTGCTCAGGAGGACAGGCTGCAAACAGCAGGCACACTTCCAGGCTGTAGACTCCCTGAGGCTGCGGTCTGCCTGGAGTCCGACGGGGAAAAGCCAGGGAAGCCAGAGCGAAAGACCACGGAAGATGGGACGAAAGTTGGCAGGAAGACGGTGAATGATGGGGAAGAACAGTAAAAGATTGGGGGAAATTGGGGAAAGGACCTCAGTAAAAGATCGGGGGAAATTGGGGAAAGGACCTCAGTAAAAGATCGGGGGAAATTGGGGAAAGGACCTCAGTAAAAGATTGGGGGAAATTGGGGAAAGGACC